CCTATATATGTATAAAACTATATATATATTTATACTAAACAGAAAGTTTGATGTAGGATTTACTTTGAAATGAAATTTTGTAGAAAGACTGGAATCTTTTCTTAAAGTAAAACATACTCCAATAATCCATTTTATTTAACTTTGAAAAATAATTTTTACAGTGTATATATGTTCTTTACAATTTGACATGTTAGTGCTAATATTATTAATGATGATTATTATTATATATATAGTTTTTTGTCCAATTAACAATATTTGTTCAGTATTTTAACTGCATTCTGATAATTAAATAATAAATCAATAAAATCTGCTCAAGCCAACACATTTAGTTTGAGTAATGATAGTTTGCGTGCAAAAACTTTCCCAGTAATTGACACCAGTAGTCATCTTCCAATCCCCGTTTAAAGGCCACCAGGATTTTGCGGTTCCCAATGTGGTGACAAACAAAATGTTCTTTCAGCGCTCACTTGACATCACATAATCCAGTGGCTCTAAAAGAGCTTTAGGTTTCCCCCGAGGAACAAAGCTTAAGCCTTTAATGGAGGCGCGTTACTGCTGGTACCCATGATTCAATGCTTGACGGAGTAATCCTACCAAATGCCTTGTGTGTCATTTGGTGGAAAATTGATCAAAATCCCCTAAGGTATCGTTACAACTGCGACAGGACAGCTGATTGTATTGAATTATATTTTGAAAAATTAGCCTATTGATCTGTTGTAAAAGTACTTAAGTATATCTGAAGTTTAAGGCAAAATACTACAGGCGAGCCAGTGTTTTTTTCACGCACTGGTCAGTTTTGAGATTTATTTTGCTTCTAGTGTGAAGAATTGTCAATAGAATGCATCCAAAATACACATTCAAGTGTTTATTTTATTACATTGTATCTATTTGCATCTGAAGTTTTCAATTATAATACATATCTTTAAAGCCTTCGAAAGCTTTTGCATACGACAAACTAAACTGTTTCATTCCTATTAATATTCTGAAGGTTTTTGCAAAGAATTAATATTTCATTCCAGTGTTTTTTTTAGTACAGTTGAGATACAATCGTAGTTTGTATTAATATTTTGAATCAGCTTTTATTTTATATTTTCTGTTATATATTTTATACATTCTGTTATTTTTATGTTATATTGAAGTTTTAGTTATTTTGAGTGTTTGTCATTTCGAGTAGTTTTGCTTTTGTGTGCATGTATATCGTTTTTATTATTATTTTTATTTCAGTCTTAGTTTGTTATTTTAGTACATAAAGTTAAACTAAATAACTAATAAAAATAATAGATTTTTTTTTTCTCAGTTAATATTTATTTCAAGTATTGAACTGGTTATTTGATTAGGGACGGATTCTCCCACGGTGATAATGCCCACATATCTGATTTTCTCTCGCTGCTCGAGGGCTGAGCTTGCAGTTCTGCCGGTAACGGCAGCGGTGGGAATCTCAGCGGTCGTTTTTCTCCTTCGATTGTGAGAGTCTGCAGGAGCAGCCGCAGGTGAACAGAATCCCTAATCGCGCGCCTCATAAAAGAAAGTGCTTTCTGGCCAAGAGCGAGAATCGTTCATCTGTTTTATGTGTGTTTCTTTAAACCTCGACGCGTCGGAGACGAGTGTCTCGGGTTACTTTAATTGCCAATTAGATAGCCTTGTGCACTCTGTGAGCGATTCTGTCTTCAAACATATTAATGCTATCAGCAAATCACGTCCTCTTGAGATCTCCTGCGCTTTCTCATCGTCTCCATTGTTTGTTTTCACCCTGAGGGTCTTGCTTAAGAACTCATGAGGTCATTTGGAAATACAATAGTTAAGCTGTTAAATGACCGTTGAATGGCCATCAAGGCTGCATTTATTTCATCAGTAAAAAGAGTAATATTGTAAAATCATTCTAATATGCTGATCTGCTGCTCAAGAAACATTTCTGATTGTTATTAATGATGAAAACAGTTGTGCTGCTAAATATTTTTGTGGAAACCGTGATACATTTTATTTTTACGGATTCACAGATTAATAGAAAGTTCAAAAGAACTAAAAAGAGTAATATTGTAAAACATTATTCCAATTTAATGTAACTATTTGAAAATATTGTAATTGATTTCTGTGATCAAAGCTGAATTTTCAGCATCATTACACCAGTCTTCAGTGTCACATGATCTTCAGAAATCATTCTAATAAGCTGATTTGCTGCTCAAGAAACATTTCTGATTGTTATTAATGATGAAAACAGTTATGCCCCTTCAAATTTTTGTGGAACCTAGTTTTTTTTTTTTTTTTTTTTTTTTGAGGGCTAGAAAATTTGAAATACCAGCATTTATTTACTTTGATTTAATTCAATGCATCCTTGCTGAATAAAAGCATTTATTTATATAGTATTGTATGTAAACTGACTTTTTTACTCAAAGAAAGTATAATCCTGCCATCTTGTGGTCCTATGACACTGTTACAATTATGAATTTGAGGGGAAAATCCTAACCCTAAGTATTAAAAATATTAGAAATATAGTCTTACCCTCCTCAGTGATGGATCCTTTTCACATTCCTGGGTTTTCAGAAGAGAATGTTGTCATAGTTGGGTAAGCTTCTATAGCAGTAAACGGGAGACTACATCGGATATATATTTCTTGTGTTCTCATTTGATCAAATAGCAAAAGAAAAACTCAATTGTGTTTTCACAACTTTTAAAAAGAGGAAAGAAATCACAACGAAAGAAACAGCAGTCAGAAAAGAGAACAATGTCAAATTTACCATCACTCTCACAGTCGCTGTATTAGATGCAAAGGTAAAAAAAATACAAAGTATAGTGTTTTTGCAGGATTTACGATGCTGGCGACCAAGGGTCTGTTAGATGTCACTGTCATGTTGCTGACATTACTATCTGTAACTTCAGATAGTAATCTGTAACTTCACTCTTTTCAGGGGTTTTCTGGTGGTGTTTTGAAGCAGCTTCAGCAGCTGAAGAATTTCCTCATTATACCAATCTACCATCTGTTTCTTTACTCATTTCTGAAGAAATATTTAAGTCTTTGTTTCAAGAATATAGCTCAGTCTGTTATTATAACTCACTGGGAGGATTACTGATACAGCAGCACATGCCTCTGAATATAATCTATAAACACTGGCTATCTTGAGCTAAATGAAAACAGTGCTAGTGGATACTCACAAGAGGATGAATTTAAAAATGCTACTTTCCATAAAGGTGTCAAACAGCGAAAGTACAGCACATCTGTCTTTACCTGGCGACCAAAACTACTATTTGAATGCGGCTCAATGGATCACCATTTCTCAGCCATAAAACGCATAAGTAACAGCCCAGAATACTTTTACCACAGTTTATGGTTTAGGTTTTTATGACAGAGGATATCTTAAACCGCTAAACATTTTTCAACCATTTCTTTCATTTGACATAGGTGTCCTCTTCCATTTTAGTATACAATAGTAGCCTATCTGTGGTGGACTATTTATGTGATTGTTAGGACTTTGTTAGGATTTAAGTATATGTTTATATGTAATATCATAATTACTTCGGTTACACTTTACTTGAAGGGGTGTGCATAAGACTGACATGACACCTTCATAATCATGACATGACACACGTCATGAATATGAAGGTTTTTTATGCATGTTTATGACAACTGTCATTAAGTGTCATTCGCTCAGTTATGTAATTTTTAATGCAAAGATGACATTGTTTGAGATGTCTTTGTTATGGGCTATGGTTACGGGTAAGGGTCACATTATTTGACCTAACCCTAACCTAACCCTACGTTAGGTTAGGGTTAGGTCAAATAATGTCATATTTGCATTAAAAATGACATAACTGAGCGAATGACACTTAATGACAGTTGTCATAAACATGCATAAAACCTCCTTCATATTCATGACATGTGTCATGTCATGATTATGAAGGTGTCATGTCATGATTATGTAGGTGTCATGTCATGATTATGAAGGTGTCATGTCATGATTATGTAGGTGTCATGTCATGATTATGCACACCCCTTCAAGTAAAGTGTTACCATTACTTCTAATGTTTTTGAAATATGGTTAAAGTGTACTGCTGAATGTACCGACAGACATTTATGGTAAACTAAAATACTCTACAATGTAATTTCTACTCAAAATTGAATGTTGTGTTTTTACATATAGTATTTATAGTATTTGAAATTACACATTTTTAATTTTAAAAAGTTGCAATTTATTACATATGTGCTTATGTGTTTTAGTCGACACATCAAAATAAGTGTACTTTTTAAAATCATGACAAAAGATTAGGGTATAAAACATAAATAAATGTACTTTAAAATGGCAAATTAAGTTTTACTTTAGAATACATGGCTAAGTGCACTTTAAATGTATTAAGAAAGATGCCATGAAAGTGTTTCTCTTTAAAGCTTTTTTTCTCCGTTTTTTTCAACTGCTTGCACATATTTTCCAAACTTTGCCACTTTTTTTCAAAACTTTACACACAAATCCGAGAATTGCACACACAAAATACAAAATGCCTCGCATCTCTTGCAAAACGAAGCACTGCATTCACAATACCACAAACACATCTAAAAAGCAAACATTTGCTAACACCTTTGCCATAATATTAATTCCTGCTAGATTTTTGTGAGTTACATAGAGAATTGTGTGTTGTGTTTTGCAAAAAGTGTTTTATGAAATTGAAAGGCCGAGAATTAGTGTATGGTTTTGCAGATTTGGTGTGTGCTTCTGCTGTTTGAGTGTCAGCTTTCAGAACTTATGTGACAAGTTTTTCTGCACAATTGCAAATAAGCCATCCGTGATATTATAAAGAATGCATTCAAAACAACATTGGACTTTCACTGAGACATTTTCTAAATAACTTCTTTTGTGTTTCACTGAAGACGGCGAGTTTAAATAGCAATAAGTGATTCAGTTCTCCGCTATGTTTTAATTTCAAGTAAAATAACAGAAATAGAGCAAATACAAATTGTCATTTAATGAAAGAGATATTAGCTTAGTTCTTATGTAATAACCTGGACGTACCTCCATTGTTTCATCTGGATATCTGTTTCCAGGCATGAAGGTCATAGATGCCCCGTAGAAACTTACGGCTGAAACAGTGAAGCTGATGAGCAGCAGTGCCATAGTGACTGATGAAATGATTGCAGTAAACACAGACGGCTACATGGATATTTTCTTCTTCCTTCTATAGTCTGACTGGTTTTGCCAGCTGTTGTTCTGTGTCAGCCGCACCACACAGATACGTTGTTTTTGTTCAAATCAAAGCACAAACAACATAGAAAACGTATCCGCGTGACGCAGCTGACACAGAACAGAATACGCTGTTTGCGTTCAGTGGATACTCTCCAAAATGGCGCTAGGGTAACGTGGAGGAGGCGAATTGTTGAATAAATTGAACCCCTGATGTCACATGGATTATTTTACCGATGTCCTTGCTATGTTTCTTGACCTTGATCGTGGTAATTACATTGCTGTCTATGGGAGGGTCAGAGAGCTCTCAGAATTCATCAAAAATATCTTAATTTGTGTCCCGAAGATGAACGGAGGTCTTACGGGTTTAGAACGACATGAGGCTGAGTAATTAATGACATCATTTTCATTTCTGGGTGAACTATCCCTCTAAGGTTTGTCTTTAACCCCGTTGTACCTTATAATCTGAAAATCCACTAGATGGTGGCAGATCCATTTAATTTTATAACGCCACTGAGGGCCACTCATCATTAAAGCCTTACTTTCATTGTCCATCCACATCATGAATTGAGTAACTTTGCATTTGTGAATATGGAATTTTCATGAAAATGAAATTAAATTCATGATGAAACCAGTGTCATTTAAATAATGATCCTTAGTATAATAACTTGAAAAAACAGGATAAGAAAAATGTATTTAAGATATTGTCAATTATTTTCTGCCTGTTTAGGGTGGTGTACTCCAAAAAAGGTACAAAATCTCTCAGCGGGCTGGTAACCTAATACTATTTGGGTAGGTATGTTACAAAACAGAAGAAAATAGCATAGATTTAAGCATGCAGTTTTCTGCCCAAATAACCCTGCTGAAAACACAATTGAAACTATCAAGTATAAATACCATTACAAACATTACAAAGCATCAACTGTTACACAATAAAATCATTACTTAATGGGTTCAAGTAGCAGTGTTGCCAAGTTTGCGGTTTTCCCGACGGAATTAGCCTACGTAAACTGTTGGCCCCGGTTGATTTTTTTTTTCTGCAGTTTAAAGATTTGACATATTGCATAAATTGTCATTGACTGAAATGAGTGTATTTAACATTCTACCAATTATAAACTGTGCTAGATTATGAGTTCTGTGAGGGAGGGGCCTTTGAGCTCCTTAATCAAAACAGACTGTGTGTGATTACTGCTAGTGATTTTTTAAGTTGAAATTGTGTATAATGCATAAGTGACGGTAAAACATTTATGTTAGGTATGGGCATGGCATATGTTGAGTTTTGATATTTGCATAGGGCCATTGGGCCTGTTTTGGCCTATTTTTGAATTAGTTGATTTAACATGCCACCAGTAGAAGGTAAATTACTGGCAGAGACCCACCGGGGACCATTACAGTTTCTATTACAATTCCTATTATAACTGTAAAACCATTACACTTTCTGTGAGGGTTTCTATTGATTTAAACAGCAGGGAAATAATCTATGGTTTGAAATACAGTTGAACACTAGTGCTTTAAGTAGGAAAATATTATCAATGAAAATCTTTGAATCACACTACCGTATCAATCGGATTTTTAAAAAAATCTGTGAACTGCTCAGTACCATGGTACATATGGTCATTTATGTCTTAAACATGATGTGGAAAGAACTGGTCAGTGGAGGAAAATTAATAGTTGCAAAATATTTACAAAAAAATATGCAATGCATTATAAAGTGCTATTAAGCATTATAATTATTCATAAATAAATGTCAAATGCAAAGTGACAATTAATTGATAAGTGTTATAATGTATTAACCGTGGTTACAATTATTCATGAGATTGTACAATGCATTATATTTAATGCATAAAAACTACTTTTATAATGCATTACACATAAAGGCTTTAAGTAAAGTGTTACAGACTATTTTTTAGACCAGCTAAATCATAGGCATAGTCAAGTCGTCCTTTGCATATTTCTGGTGCTGTCCAGATAATGTCAGTGTTGTGTGATGCATTTTTTAGATGAATCTTTACATAGATCAACCCTAGGTTTTGAGAGGCTGATTAAGCAGCTCTCAAGTTGTGTCCTAATATTTTACATGGAGATCCATGTATTTTTTAGAAGGAGAGTTACAGTAATTCATAATTTCAACTTTCAATTTTTAACTTCTCCCATATTCACAACCAATGTTTTTTTATCGTAACAACCAATATTTGTATTTAAAATAACCCACAATGATATGAAATATGAATTAAGGATGGTGACCGAATGAAATGAAGCTGAAAAATCCAGACAAGACACATTCTCATAACTGGATGCAAAAGTTTGATCTATGCTCACTAAAATATGGCTCTCTGAATAACAAACCACACTCTTATACGTGTAATTCTAATATGAATAGAAGAGTCTGGAGTGTATCTAGTTTGCTGCCCTGTTTGCTGTGCTGTTGCTATAAGGAATGATCTAACTGATACGGTTTGCTTTTGTATAAACAATTTGAAAAGAGCCATAAATATGACCCCAAGTGAAATAAGCCTGCAGACGGCAGTTCTTTTGGAAACATGAATCTGTGCCAGCCCAGCACCATGTTCAAGATGTTATATAAATGTTTAGGCATTTATATATTTTAAATTTTAAATATTTTAAATGTTTAGGCATTTAGGCATAGCTATATATATTTTCTAACCGTGCATTTTAAGCAGACACTTTGCATAGTTATTGTTACTTTGCACCCATTTCTAAGCATTGACATCGAATATATCTGAGGATGACTAGTTGGTTTAAACAAATGAGACTCCAGTAGATTCCAGATACATTTTCAAAGCCTTATTGGGCATGCTGTGACACACTCCCTCATGCTCTGACAGTGAGTTAGTAATACTGCGGCTAAAAACGTTTGGATATTCCAACATGCACAGGGAATACAGAGCAAATTAACTGCCAATCACACATAACTATCCTCCCAGTCCTAAGACAGGAGGTTTCAGCGTTTTGGTTCTTACGGAAATGTGAGCGAGACACTCTGACCCACTTTCCTCTCAGCTGAGTCGACTGCAGCAGTTAAACATACCAAAGGAAGACCTCTAAACCCCTGCGTCCAGCCTTTCGTGATCCTGCGAATAACCATTTCATATTTCAAAATATCTCACACATGGACCTCTTGTGTTTTTTTGTTAAAGGGGTCATATGATGCGATTTCAAGTTTTTCTTTCTCTTTGGAGTGTTACCGGGGCATAGAGGAGAAACAATAATGTACAGTATGTGGAAAATAATGTGTTTTTTGAACCTTAAACCACATAAACACATTTCATTACACCAAATACACAAAATAATATTATTTGTAGCAGCATCATTTGACCCCTTTAAGAGACTGTATCACTCCATTAGCCTTGTTAGCAAGTTATGAGGAACTAGGAGAGATATGCTGTAAAAATGTGACGCAATTATTTGTTTAAAAACTGACATTTAAATACATATATACAATCATTAATTTATTTTCTGAATAAAATTTATTTTAATTTATTTAATAATTATATAACTCTTTTTAATCCCTTATAAAATGGTAAATTATTTAGCAAAGAGAAATCACCAAAATGTGAAGATGTGAATTAATGATTAGAAAATAAAAAAAGAAATAAATCACTTTGCAAACTGACAATAAAATATGTACATACAAAGAGAATTTATTTTATAATTAAAAATGTACATTTGTACTTATTAAAAAAATTAAATAATTTGAAAATAAAAATATAAATAAATCGATTTGCAACCTGACAAAATATACAAACATTTTATTTTTAAAATAGTATTTTATTGCATTATTTACAGAATTTATTTATCTATTTACTACATTTTTAGTTGTTAAATGTAATTAAGAATGATATACTTTACTTTATAAATTATTACGTTTTATTTAATCTTTTTCCATTTCCTTTATTTTATTTAAATTTAATTCATTTAATTTTCTTTTCATTTTATGGAGGACTAATTTATTTAACAATTCCTTTTTTCCCAAATGGCTTCTCACCTTCGAATTCTGTACACGCTCAAGAGTCCAGAGATCAGGATTCAAATTCAAATTTGAAAAGCTTTTGTAAATCACTCCTATTTCAGAGTTTATGTCTGATGGTACAATATCCAGCTGTAAGCCCTTTGTGTTTGCTAATACTGTGCTCGAAATTGTTGTGTCGAGACTGGACTTCCTCTATTGTTAGTTACATGCTGCTAAGTGTAGAACGGCTTGCTCAGCAGCTGTTGAGAATAATAGAAGGTTGAGTGAGCAGGATTTGCGTCCGAGGCTGGAACAAGAGCCTGTGTGTTACGAGACACAAGCGGATATGAACAAAGCATGTGTTATTCAGAAAGACTGGCTCTAACCTCACCTATCCTCTATAGGATTTTAGCTCAAGTCAAATGCTGTATGACTACACTCTCAGAAAAAAAAAGGTACAAAAGCTGTTGCTGGGATGGTATCCTTTCAAAAGGAACTAATATGCTGTAGATACTAATATGTACAGTTTAGGTAGTAATATGTACCAAAATGCACACTTAAGGGATAATTACAGTATACCTTTTGAAATGTACTGCCCAGTTACAGCTTCTTTTTATGCGCAACATTATATAATATTAAACATTATTTGCTCCAACTCTTAAGAGATAGAAACATACTTTTGCATACTTTCAAAAAAAGTATTTGTTACGGAAATAATATCATTTGGAAGAATATACTGTACTTAAGTGCAACTGAATGTAATGTTTTCGGGCACTGAATTGCATGTTAATTGCAATGGAATGAAAATGCGTTATAGTTTAAATTGATATTAAATGCAATTTGCTGAACTTTAGAGCGCTTTTTGACCCACTTAAGTAGGACTTAAGTATATTTTTACTGTATATGTAATTTTGTAATTCTATTGCCTTTGAAATATGGTTTAAGTACTGCCAAATATACTGAC